ATAATACATACCCATAGTCAAGTTGTAGCAATACCCAAGATACCCTGATACAGGGTAAATTCTATTATGTGAGTGGGAAAGTTAGTCAGATTTCAGATAAGCATGAAGTTTAGAATTAATTTGTGAGAGGCACAAGATGGAATTTTCAGATAACTTAACTTTAATTTCATTTAGTTTTAGAGATGGAAAAGGTTTATTAGGTGAACCTTCCTCTTTGAACTAGAGCTGTTTTAAAAAAAAAACTAAGCTCCATAAAAAACTTGAATCATAGACTTAAAGTTTTGCTTTCATGAAGCAAGAAGTTGTTCAATGAAGAAGAAGTTTGCATAATGGATCCCTTATGGCCCTATTTGTATATGGCTTTTTAGGATGGCTGTTGATTGATATTTCAAAATTATTATTGGACAATAGACACAGTTTTCATTAGTTACTGTTTCTTTGAAGTGCTCAGACTTACTGAATTGTATTAGGTTTCCTTGTTCTCTGAAATCAAATTAGTTTGTTATATATAATCATTTTCTAATAGCTCATCTTACACTGGTCCTTAGAAAACATGGCTTAGAAACAGTATAAAACATGACGAATTTATGCCCGTTTTCCCTCTTACTTTATCCTGCCTAACCCTCCTTTTTCTTTCCTCCAAGGAGAAGTGTGGCATAGTATTAGGTCCCTTCACTTGAGTCACAGAGACCCAGTATGAATCCTGGTTCCAGCACTTCTGAGTCATCTGACCTATGGCAAAATCTTAAAGGTCTGATTCTTAGTTTCCTCATCGGTAAAATGGAGATAATAAATGTACTATCCCCGCAGGGTTTTTTTTTTTTTCTCCAAATAAGTTAAAAGCATGTCGGTCACTTAGCCTAGGACTGGCACATAACAACGTCAATGACTCCTATTATTATTTGTATTTTATTATTATAATTATCATTGCTGCTGATCTATGGTTATAATTTATTCTGAAATCAAGTTCTTAGATTAATTTAAATTTATTTTACTGAAATTGGTCACCCAAACTTCTTTGGTCCAGACCTGAACCATCCATTTCCCACAGCCCCTTTGTCTGTCTCCAGAGAATGAACCCAGGTGCTTGTGCTCCATGCCTGTTACCCCAGCAGCACAGGCTTCCTGAAGACCCTGGAGAAGCAGGGAAGTAAGGAGCCCAGGTTCTGAAATCAGAATGCTTGGGTTCAAATCGTGTTATGTCTCTTATTAGTGGGATAACTTGAGGTAAATTACTTAATCTCTCTGGGCCTCATTTTCCTTACCTGTAAATTAGAATAATGATACCTATTCTCTCTGTAGGGGAGTTATGAAGATTAAATGAGGTAAAACATGAAAGGATGCAGACCATTGTCTGGCAGAGAGCACATGTTCTGTAAATGTTACCTATTAGTGTATCTTTTATTCAGCAGGGGTTTGTTTTTAACTGTTAATTTGTATATAATAATAATAGTAATAACCTCCTGATTAGATTTCCTGGACTGTATGTGCCATCATTTTGAGATCCAGTTCAATTCAGGAAACACATATTAAATGCCTACTGTGTATTAAGTGCTGTGGGGTGGGGTGGGGTCATATATTAATAAGATTTATTCCCTGCTCTTTGGGAGTTCATATGCTGGTAGGAGAGAGAAGACATGTTACGCAGTGCAAAATGTTTCTATACTTTTTATAGCGGATAAAAGGAGGCCAAGAGTAATTCTCAATGCTGTGGAGTAAGTTTGGAAGGTTAGGTGAAGAGGGCAGGCATTCCCAGGTGAAGTGAATAAAGAGATGGGCCCTACATGGTACTGGAGGACAGACTTGAGTGGGGTGACTTGGAATGGTGAGACCCCGCACAACTGAGGACACACACTGGCGAGCTATCACTGCAACACAAGAGAACATGGCACAGTAAACCTGATAAAATGGGAACATAAGAAGTTGCCAGAGTTGAAGTTGGCTCAAAAATTTTGATGTTAGTCCTGGGGAGGAGGGTAGTGATAGTCAAGAGCCTAGTTAATGGTTCTGCGATTCTTGGAGGCCTTCTTAAAATCCGCTTTGTAGATGAAAAAGGCAGACATTAGAGTAATATGATTCCTAATAAATACAGTTCCCCCTTGGATGTGACTTGCAGGGACTTTGTAACTGAAGACTTAATCACAGAACTTATCCCATGGCCTGTGGGATCCTCTTAACCCTCCTTTCCTGGACATTTTCTCACTTAGCCTGTGCGTGCAGGCCATGCCATGGTCATTCTGCACGCTGTGTAGTGGTAATACCCTTTAGTTTCACTGGCATTTAAAATAGAGATAATTGACTTTAAAAAAATTTAATGGAGGTACCAAGGATTGAACATAGGACCTTGTGCATGCTAAGCAGTGGTAGCACTGAGCTATTTTCCTACCCCCTCTGAGATAATTGACTTTTAACTTTTAAAAAATTCCTATTGTTTCGTTAAGTGGTGTTACCAGAGTAGAAATAGGAGAAACACCCATCACCCTCCCCTAGCCCGGATATGCTTTAAATCACGTGGCTTTGTTCTTTCACCTCAACTGAAAAAGACTCGAAGTAAAGAGTAAGAGGAAGAGAAGGGCTATCTTAATGGTAAAATATTTTCTGGTCTAGAGAAATGCTTCGCTTGATGAAAACAGGTGTAATTTCTAGATACAAATGAAATGATTTTACAGCAGTGGCATACACACATATGCTACTGCTGTACGTATTTATGTCTTATATATAGCAATATATGTTTATGGTATAGGTAGGTAGGCAAGCAGATGGCTACATAGATAGATATTAGAACATTTTTATAAACAACTTTTTTTCTTCCCAAGCTAACAGAGTAAAGAGAGCAGGAAAATGAGACTGTGAAGTGGGGTTAGTGACACTGAATAGATATAGGTGGCATGCTTAAAGTCACAGAGCAGGTTAGCAAAAGCGGAAATGAGAGTCCAGGTTCCCTGATATCCAGACCCCAGTTGTTGTTACCACATAACCAGGTTATTACACACACAGTCTAAATAATCTGTAAGTTCCATTTTGAATTTCTCTTTAACCCAAGACACTTTTTAAAAGAATGCCTTTACACTTTCAGTGGTTACATCCTTTTTCTGTCATCATGTTGTCAATTCTGAGTTTTATTAGCCTGTGATAAAAAGAAAAATGACCTGTATAAATTCTACATATTGAAATGTATTAAGTTATGTATTATCCAAAATATGTATTAATGATTACACGTACAGGCCTATGACTGTTAAAATTAACCGTGTTAAATAAATTACTCAGCTCCTCCATTAAAAAAAAAAGATTTTACAAATAACCTATACTTCCTGATCTACGGGAATAGCTGTATCATTCACTATACTCACAGTGGTAAACATTCACTACCAGGAAGAAGGTGTAGCCCATCTAGAGAGCTTTTTCTGCTGGGTAGTGGTCCTCATTCTGTTTTATTTGAGTTAGGAATTTGTGGTTTTTTTAGTCTTAGGAGGAGGACACAGTGTTGTAGGAGGTTTTGAGCAAGAGGCAAGACTTGGGTACTTTGTGGATTGTTATCGCCCTGCAAGACCCTTCGCAACTTCCTCTCGCCGCCCACAGCAGAATACGGAAACCCTGCTGTATCAGGCCACTTCTGCAATTACAGTCACAATTAAAGGGGATGCTTCGTTCACACTACACCCTTCTGTTCTGAGACTTTCTTTGCATTTGAAAATGTGCCTTTTGTGGTGGAATGCCCGACTGAGCCTTCGTCTCCCCTCTCTCTTTGCTGCCCTGCAGTTTTGCAGTTGAAGCTCCAGCAGCGCCGGACGCGGGAAGAACTGGTGAGCCAAGGGATCATGCCGCGTAAGTACCACTCTCTCTCTCTCAGCCCCTAGAGTAGTTTTTAGGGTATGGTATGTGTACCCAGCAGGCCATGGGAAGCATCTAACAGAAAACAAGGCCAACGGGTTTCATTTTTCAGTCTTTTCTTTCTCATGCTTTTCCAAGTTCAGAGCCCCTCAATTGGTGATGATAGTTAAGAGAACCGCCCTAACTCATCGAGTTCAGTGAAACAGACATTGGGTTTAACGGTGCCATTGAATCATCCTCAGCTTCTGAACTGCACCTTTAAAAGGGTTTCCACGCCCTGTTACACTTCCCTGTGTAGGAGGAACAGATCTGAGCTGGGGTATGGTGAGGAGGAACCCACTTCTCGCATCTTTTGCCTTAGTGTTCAGGTGCCTGGGAAGAGACGACCCTTTCCCACCTAGTATTTTAAGTGAACCCCAGTTTTATTTAGAGTGAGATCCTCAGATACCCTAAGACTGGCGTGGTGTGAGTGTTCCTGAGTGGAGTCATTGAAAGGGGTATCGCAGGGCTGGGCTTAGTGGGTGCAGAATTGCATCACTTGGGGAGGAATAAAACCAACCTTAGAATCTGTTAGAAGCAGAAAATTTGCTTTTAATACCGACAACCGTATAAAATGAGTGGAAGCTGGAGCCAGCAGGATTTTGCTCTTTTTGACATTTTTTTAAGTCATCGACAGAGCTTAGGCTTCCCCTTTTATTCCTTTTATCTTTGTGACTATTGCTGCTTGGACCTGCCCTGATGAAGTAAGAATATATACATCACACAACAACTTCTAGCTTCACAGTGGGAGGACTGATGTTTTTCACCTTAACTCAATGCCTGCTGACCCATTGCCACTGTATTTTCCTAATTCTTCACTCGTTCTTTCAAAATATTTGAGTTCCTAGTGTGTACCCCTTGATACAGCAAAGTAAATCCAGCTCCTTCTCTCAGGAGTTTTGTACTGAGAAGGAGAAGACTGATAATATAATAAACAGGGAGACAAATAAATAGACAAGATAATTTCAGAGCATGATAGATGCTATGAAGTAAATTAACTGGTTGGTATATTAACAAATAATAGGAATGAGATGGGGTCACTTTGGAAACGATGGTCAAGAAAGGCCTCCCTGAGGAGGAAATATTTGAGCTGAGATCTGAAGGATAAGATGGAGCCGGCCATTCAGAAGCAGGAAGAGGGCCCAGGAAGAAGAAAGAGCAAGTATAAGGGCCTAGTGCAGTTAAGAGCCTGGCATGTTTGAAAACATCAAGGAAGCCATTGTGGCTGGGGTCTGGTAAGTGAGGGGAGAGTGGGGGCGAGTTAAGATTGGCACGGTGGGCGGGGCCAGAGTGATGGCCTCGTAGCGCACAGAGGAGGTAGATTCTGTTTTAACTGCTAAGGGGAGCCGGTGAAGGCTTTTAAGCAAGTGGGGATGAGGTTTGATTATGTCACGGTAATAGCAGGTCCTCTTCTAAGAGCTAAGCACTTCATAGCAAGCATAAAGAGCCTAAGGTCTGTTTCTGTCCTAAGCCTCAGCCAAGGGACTTGTCTCAAATTTACCTTTTTTTTTTCAATTGCAATTAACTACCAAACCATTTACCCATGTGCTGTCTTCTTCTCTGACCTTCCAGTGAAGGACTTCCCCTCCTTAAAGCATCTGATAGAGCAGATGGCTTGTGCAGTGGATCAGTAATGTGATCAGGTAGGGAGGGCAGTGTTGTGCTTTACAAAACATGTCAGATCTGCCAATCTACAAACCCTGTAGAGGAACAAGTTGCCCAGCGTCACATCTGCGTGTCCCTTTCACCAGGGACATCATGTGCTTAGTGTCTGCTTTGTGCCCAGGGTAGTCCTGGATGCTGTGGAGATTACAGAAGTATACCATGGTACCTGCCCTCGAGACATTTAACAGTTGATCTGAGTAGCTAAGATTTGCCCATACACAAGATAAAGAGCAATCGGTGTTGATCCATGGGATGCTGACTCTAGTTAGAGGACTAGTTCTGAGAGCATAGTGCTGCTTCTTAGGATCTGTAGTATGTTCAGGATCTGAAAGCCATGCAAAGGATGAGTGCCTTGCATTCTTCTTCCTGTCTTTCAGTTGATACCAGGGGCTACTGTAAATAACTATTTAATAGGGTTTATCAGGTATAGTCTCCTTGCTTAGCATTTCTTACAGTATTCCACATTATTAAGGTAAATGATGCTTCAGTATTGCAGTTATCTGCTTATATGTTTGTCTCTCCAATTAGACTGTGAGCTCCTTGAGAAAGCATCTTATTTATATTTCTGTCCCCAGTGCCTGGCACTGAATGAATGAATGAAGACAGCCAGTTGTAAAGTGTGGCGTGTGTGTGTGAGAGAGAGGAAGAGAGAGAGGGGGAGGGAGGGAGAGAGGATGAAAGACCAAAACAGATATCACTCTGTTGCAAATTCTGCTGTTGGAATTCTGGGCATGGAATTTGAAACAACGCCCCTCTTCTGTCAGGAGCCCAGGTTCTAAAATATTCTGAATATCTGATGGTATACTTTGAGTTGTTCTTTGTATCTGTGAAGTGAGAATAATTGCCCTTCCTAAGGGAATAGAAATGCCCTGCTTCTCTGAGAATACTGCATCTTCCCATCTTCCCTCATATAATGAGCCACCTTCAGCCTTGGGCATAGTTTGGTTTTCAGCTTTTCTACTGAAGAAAGTAGGTAGCAAACTCTTAGATTATATGAGAGAGAGTGTTGAGGCCTGGGGATAGTTTCAGGTGTGAAGTTCCCTGCTCATCAACATACCTGGTGATATGCAGGAAGGACCTTGAATTCCCAAAGGTGAGACTTTTTTATTTCCCAGCCCCCTACCCTCTGAGTAAACTCCACTTCCTCACCTTAATCCCTCGCCCTCTAACCCAACTTCTGTCTATCGTCATTTCCGGTATTCTCTGCCTCCCTGACATCCTCATAATCCCCTGTCTCACCCTCCACTCACATCTTTCAAAAGGAAATATGAGTTCATGGATGGACCTGGAGATCGTCATTGTAAGTGAAGTAAGCCAGAAAGAGAAAGAAAAATACCATCTGATATTACTTATGTGGAATCTGAAAAAAAGACACAAATGAACTTATTTACAAAACCGAAACAGACTCACAGACATAGAGAACAAACTTAATAGTTACCAGGAGGAAAAGGGGGTGGAAAGAGATAAGTAGGGAGTCTGAGATTTGCAGATAGTAACTACTATATATAAAATAGAGAAAGAACAAGTTGCTACTGTATAGCACAGGGGATTATATTCAGTATCTTGTAGTAACCTATAATGAAAAAGAATGTGTAAATGAATCTGTATATGTATATGTGTGACTGAAACATGCTCTACACAAGAAATTGACTATACTGTAGGACCAGGGATGATGAAAAAAAAAAGGAAAGAAAGAAAAAGAAAATATGAATTGTGCTGGGGACAAATCATAATTGGATCAGCAACTTGTTGATTGTTGGAGATTTGGAGACCTGAAAAAGTAACATCAGGTTTGAAGTGCCCATTTTCATTCCCATCTTGCTGGCCTGAGGAGTTTCTGAAAGTGCCTTTATATTTAAGTTTGTTGTACAGCTTAGGGAGTAGTTAGGACCTTCAAACCAAGGGAAAGGAGCTGTGTAGTCATGGCTGTATTCTGCCTCGTCGTTTCTGTTTGTATCTTTTATCAAATTCTTCTCATCCCAATCCTTCTGTAGCTCTAGGAAGAAGAGCCCGCCCACCTCATTTCACAGAGCACTCACACACCGTTCCCACGGGGGACTGGCGTGCAGTTCTGACACCGTATCTGTAGGACATGCTGTCTTCAGTGGCTCTCTTGCCTTCAGGGTTGTTCATAGTTTTTGCGTGTTGTTTAAAGTTGGTGTATGGCCTTCCTATAGAATTCAGGGGATTAAAGAATCTCTCAATTCCTATACACCTCTTTCTGCTACTTGATATGCTTTGTTTATGGCATCTAAACTATGGGATATAGAAATTGGTTTCTGGTGTGATTTTAAACAGATTCATTTCCCAGAATCCTTCATTCTCGTCATGTAAACATATGTCTCAAATTTAACACTATATAAACCCTACCAAATGCAGAGTGCCAGATAGCAAAGGATTACATATTCCAGGCCCTAAGCTTTCTTTAATGATGTCTGAAACTCTGCATATCTTGAGGGAGAGGAGATATGGCACAGATAGGAAGCTGGTGTTTTAAGTCCAAAGATCAAGACCAGGAATGCTGCTGTGTCTCAGATGAAGATTCAAAGAAGAGGTGGGTCATGTGTGGTACACTTTGTTCTCAAACAGACTTTCCCCACAGCCTTTCTCTTTGGCATTTAAAGGTGTGCAGGTCATAAGGTTCAGGTGAAAATTACATTCTGGCAATGAGAGCTGCTGCAGAGGAATAGCTTTTTAAAGGAAACCATGGAAGTTCTCCAAACAAATGAGAAAAAGTCTCCTGTAATCTTTCTAGATATGAGCAAAGCATCTCACTTGCCTTTTCCCGCTCAGCCTTTTGTTTTTCTATTGTGAATCCTTGAGAAAAAACAGAGACTAGCAAGTTTCTGATGCTACTCTTAGCAATTCATTGTCTTCCCCCGGGCCTGTAGTAGGAAAGCCTCGGCACCTTGGCAGACGCACGAGGAAATCATTATGTTTGTCCTGTAGAGTAAGGGCCTTCTTCTGTTTCCTGAGTGAGCTTTTTCTTTCTTTTTTTTTTTTTTTCATTGTATGTGGTGTTTCTGTGGACTCGGCCACTGCCATTGGTGGCACTTGCTTCTCAGTTGTTGGGAGAATCTAAAGAGCGAGGACAGCACAGCTCAGAGAGGGCAGCCAGTCCCGTCAAACTGCCCGGTCCTGCCAGGCGCCCAGGCACGCTGCTGGGTGAAAAGTGAACCAGTCAGCCAGCCGGTTCTGACTGGCTGGGAGGTCTGCTAGGCCTCGTGTTCTCACACTGAAACTGGAGAGGATGGCTTTATGTCGTGGAGCCCCCACAGCTCTCTTTCTAA